CCCCCCCCCCCCCCCTGCTTCTTCACACATCTCTCTCTCTCTCTCTCTCTCTGACACCCTTTTAATATAGGATTATCTCTGAACTGTCTTTTGAAGAGCTTGAGCAACAACATAGGGTCTAGATAAAGCCTAAATACAACTATCAAAAAGCGTAAATCTCTGAAATACTAGGTGACAGTATAAACACCTCAAAGAGACTGTAAAATTTCACGGCTACTATTATTACTATTGGTATTATTTGGCATTTTACTTTAACACATCTCAATACACAGCATGGTTCAATTAACAATAAAATACAGTACGTAAAAGCAGAGCATTATTGGCTGTAAAAGTACATACGTATAGTGAGTGTAAAATTGATTATTTAAAATAAATCCAATAAATATTGTGTGAGGCATTAAATATTAAAGGACCTGATATTTTATTGACGTTTTTCTATCCATTTTCTACCAACTATTTAATTACGTGGTGTCGCAAGATGTTTCACCCCTATTTTCTAAAATGGAAGGGCAATGGGCACGTGGTCGGAACCATTTGGGCCACTGGACAGTGAAACTTGTCCTAGTTCTACAATGTAAGTGAAGGACGGCCGCAGCATCTACTCTGGGATCATGCCCGTAAACTTGGCTCCTTCTTTCCCATGCCTTTCAGGGCCTACTGCCGTGAACCCGCCATCTACCGGGAGTTCGGCGCCCGTGATGAAGGATGCGTCTCTGCTGCAGAGGAAGGCAATGGCGGCGGCAACTTCTGCGCATGCTCCGATACGGTTCATCATGTGACATCCCTCAAACCACCTCTTTTGGTCTTCATCGCCTGATATGAAGTTTGCGAACTGAAATATGAATGATATTATTTTGGCAGTGTTTTAATTCTTTCTTCTGCTCCGCACTGCTTTAATATGGATTTTGATAATCAGCGTTAAAACCATGAAATTCTCTCTTCAGCTCAACTTATTAAGCATTTGTTCAATCATATTTGAAGATATCTGTAAATTTTCTGATACCCCTCTCTATCCCTCTCTCTCTCTCACACACACACACACTTACCGCTGCTGTATTTATTGATCCCGGTGACACGGAGTTCACCCGTATGTGATCTTTGGCCAAGTCCAGTGCCATACACCGGGTCAGCTCCAGCACGGCACCTTTACTGGTACAGTACGTCCACTTACTGGCCGATGCCACATGGCTGAGGACACTGGCTATATTGACGATTGATCTGGCGTCAGGTTCGGCTATATTGATAAATTATCAGTGAAATACTGCTTAAGTACTGTACGACCTGCTAAAATATGATTATGGAGATCGATGGAATGTTGACTTTTTAACTTTTTTCGATGGAGAGAACTTGTTTTCAAATTGGAGTAAAGGCCCCTTACCAGTGGACGGCGTCCTTTCTGCGTTTCTTCTGCGATCAAAAATTTGGTCAATGCGCTAAATACCCCGGTCACACCTACAAGACGCAAGGTCGACGCTCGACTTTCGTTCTCTGTGCAATCGTTTTGAACATACCCAAAACTGCGGTGACCATGGCGTCTGCGCGATCCAAGCGATGACCGTGCGTTCTTTGAGCGCTCAATGGCGACCTGGCCAGTTTAATGGTCGCACAAAATAAGCAAAAAGGACGCCGTCCAGTGCAAAGGGTGCACGATGTAGATTTTGCTGTTATTACGGTGGACAGCAAGGATTCATGCTCACACTCGCATAAGGTGGAGATAGAGGGGAGAGAGTGGGAGAAAGAGAGAGAGAGAGAGATGCAGAGGATAAGAGAGAGAGAGGAGGAGGACAAAGAGGAGGAGAGATGTGTATTTTACCTGTCTTCATGTGAGGAAAGCAGGCCTGTACCATATTCGAGTATCCAGCCACATTCACACTCATGACTTGTGCCCAGTCGGACGTGTCGGCATCTAGAGCTGAAGAACAAAGACGAACATTGATTTAATCAAGAAGTTATAAAGTTATAACTTCTTGATTTAATGTTGAAAACCAAGGGGAGAGAGTAGGGATATCAGCCCCCTCCGGCCAGTCCGACCCATCACCCATCCCACAGCAGCATACACAATGTTTTTTATCTGATTTTGTTTTATGTAGATGCAAGCGAGAGTTGCTCTTGCGCTGTGAATTTGAAGGCGAAAAAAGGGATGGTTACGACTAACATCCCATTTCCATAGATTTTTAGATCGATCTATCCCTGTGGGGAGTCTCACTAGATTGCTGTCAGCTTGGCCGGCTTAAGCGTCTGTCCCGCCTACTAAAAGCTGTAAAGGGGTAATTAACTATGGTGCCCGCTCGGCTGACTGCAATTTAGCGTGAACCCCCAGGGAGTTAGGTCGATCTAAATCTTAATCTTTATATCGAGCTAAATCTCTGGGAAAGCACCCTTAATGTTCATGCATTATGGATCACAGCGCGAGTTAAGTTTTAAATTGAAATATAACAAAAGGGGTGTTATTTTCGTTAGAAAAGCTGGAAAAATTATGCCAGCTGGCAGAACAGATCTGCACTGGTTGAACAGCTCTCTCGCTGGTAGATTAGAAACCAACAGGGAAAGGTGACCGAATCGACCATTCTCGGCCAACCCCCTGATTGTAAGAAATGCCACAAAACATGCTGTCTTTATTAAACATTCACTTTTAAATTATGTGGGGAAATGCTCGTGGGGTGTCGGAAATCGTTTCCTGCAATCCATAACTTCAACTTACCTTTATATATAAATGCCGCAGCACAGTTCACAAGAAAGTTGATGCAGCCACCGTACTGGTTAGCTACGTGGCTAACGGCCTTGAAGCACGCCTCTCTGTCGGAAACATCGACCTGGTAAAATTTCGTCTCAAAGCCAGCCGCCCGGAGCTCAGCCTCCAACTGTTTCCCGGCAACTTGGTCGATGTCGAAGAAGGCAACAAGTGCTCCGTCATTCAAGAAGCGTCGTACACATGCACTGCCTATACCACCGGCTCCCCCTGTGACTATAGCTACACGCCCCTTGAGTCTGTCCTTAGTGCTTGCTGCATCCAGGCTAGGTTGAAGAGCTGCCATTTTAAGACACTCCTACCCTGGTTTTCCTTTTTGCAAAGTCGTAGGTGAAGAATTGGTGACCTATTTTGGCCCCCTGTTGCAGGCCACCGTCATGACGATTATGTAATAGATAGACCCCGAGTCAACGAGGGTCAAGTGGCATACACGAGTGCCTATCGTGTATATCGGGCTCGTGGACAGTGGATTATGTAGGAAATAATGCACTGTCCACGAGCCCGATAATACGAGCGCCAGCGAGGCATGCTATCGTGTATATCGGGCGAGGGGGTAACAGTGCATTATTTGTCACACATACAAAGGGAAATCGTGCGCGTTCCCCACCCAAACCCCCTAACTTTGAATAGAACACGCTGATATCACCGCACATGGGGTGATATCAAAGAATACATACCACGGGGCTGATATCAAAACAAAAGGGTTGCAGGGACCGCAATTAGGCGGCAAACGCGGGGAAAGTCCATGTGTGAGATAATACACTGTCACCCGAGCGATATATACCATAATACCTCGAGCGTAAGCGAGTGTATTATTTGACATACATACCGAGAACAAATATAGTCATTTCACCCTAAAACACCCCTAAAACCGAATAAAGTGACCCTATCGCATAGATTTTAGATCGATCTATCCCTGTGGGGAGTCTCACTAGATTACTGTAACCTTAGCCGTCTTAAGCGTCTGTCCCGCATACTAAAAGCTGTAAGGGGTTAACTAACTATGGTGCGCGCTCGGCTGACTGCAATTTAGCTTGAACCCCCAGGAAGTTAGGTCGATCTAAATCTTAATCTCTGGATCGATCTAAATCTCTGGGAATACACCCCTAGAGATGTTATGTGGAATAAACTCGTCCACGTGCGCTGGTCACCTCCCGCCGAATTCTTATGTAATGCTAAATACTTGTCGTGGACGTTCAACTGGCTTGAAAAGTATTTAATCAACCGTCGACACTGACCATGCGCGTCTCAGCTGAGCCACACCTAGCTTGGACTGCTGCGGAAAAAGGTCCCAAGGCAAAGCGTCTACTTTTTAGTGACATTTCTGATAAACAAAGGGCGTCGGACCAGAATATAGTCAAACTAATTTTTCACAAGTGCGAAGGAGAAAGAAATATACTCTTTGGTGATATTTCTGACAAGGAGGCAGTTTCGGAATATAGTCAAAGTCAGACGGATGTTTATTACAAGTTCACGGGAGTAATAATTCTAGTTAAATTGTTATTTCTGACGAGGCGGTTACGGAATATAGTCAAAATCAAACGGAGGTTTATTTCAAGTCCACAGGAGTAATAATTCTACGTTTTGGTGACATCTTTTACTACGAGACGGTTTCGGAATAGATATGTGCTGGTTATCAGAGCATTCATGTGCTACATGTTATTACAAGTTCAACTTCAAAAGGGGATAGATTTGATTTTTACCGATATATGTCTGATAAAGAGGAAGAATGAACACCTTAAAAACAACAGGTAAATCACACAACGCTCGTTAAAAAGTTATAGATTTACAAATAATTTGTATGGACGCGTGGCTTAACTGTAACCTAATTCCCGTTTTCAAACCATACCCATATGATATGACTTACTGTAATAAAATTATCAAGAATAATTGTTAAACGTCAAAAGTTTGTTAATTTTTTAAGAGTGTGAGAGATTTTAAATTTGTCAACTGGTAGGTATATAACGCAAGTAAAGTCACTATTCTCTTGATGCCAAGAAGGTCACATGATCACTGTCTTCGGCTTTCAGCATTTAAGATACCTCGACTGATTTAACCAAGATGCAGTCGTGAAATTCTAGACTACGTCGAGGTTAAATCCGAGTTTTCCGAGAGACGCTACGCAGAAATGTCGAGTGAAGCGAGATATTTTTGGGTAGCGGCTCGAGGTTGCCCTCGACCTTCACTCATATCGCATATCATATCAGCATATCGCCATGGTCATATAAGGGACCGTTCACATGAAAAATCTATTTTCTAAAAATCTAAAAATCTATTGGCGGCATCTTGTGATCACGGTCTGTGCCCTGAATACCCCTTGGCGTAATTACTGGTAGCGCGAGCGAATTCCTTCCAAAGTTGTAATTAATTCTCGGCTGCGCTCGGAGGAGATTCTCATGAAGCCAAGACTCGATACAAAATGAAGTTAAACCTGGTTGGGATCGATCAGTGCCCCTTCAAAGAACCTGCTGACAAGTGGACTAATGATATGAAGGAGTGCCCAGCTACATATAATGGAGATATATATCATTATTTGATCAAATCTCCTCGTAAGTAAAAATATTTGAGTCAATATGGAGATGTCCATTGTTGTTTCATATAGGCTGAAATAAGCTGAAAGTGTCTTCATGAAAACGACCTCAGCCTGCCTTTATTTTCCAAGTGTTAATAGAACGTGTTAGTGTCCAGTTTTAGATATGATTAAAAAATTAAACCAGGTTCAGAAGATCATGTCAGCTTACATTTATTCAAGCAGTGGAACACCTTTACAATTTTCGCATCTACTTAATCATAAGATTTTATATATTGCTTTTTTCATCTATTTAACAGGTCTGTATTCCGCAGAAGCAATGGAAAACTATAAGTCTTTGGATGAACATGTTTTTTCGTCTGTGGCTGGGTACAGACTGTGTATCATTGCAAGACGAGTAGAGGGTATTTTATTCTTAAAGCAGATGTGAAACCTTCATGGCGTGTGACAGAGGAGCCACATCACCCACGGGTGGCCTTGAGCAAAGATGGCAAAGTAATTACTGCACACTGCGATTGCATGGCAGGGTAATTATCTTTTTCAGTTGTGATTCTTGTTGTACATATAAGTAGTTTAAATCCTATTATGTGCAATGCTCTTTTTAGCCTTTAAAACATGAAATATTGAAAATAAAATTTAGATGGTTATGCAATTACACCTTCCCCTGTCTGGAGAGAAACTTGTACAAATTATGAACATTTGCTCTCTTTTTTTAGATTGGGAGAGACATGTTCTCACATTGGAGCGGTGCTGTATAAAGTGGAAGCCGCAGTGAGACTAGGTTACACAACCTCTGCCTGAACTGATTTGCCATGTCAGTGGAATGAACGCTATGTTAAGGATGTTGAACTGGCCCCACTGCATCTATAAAGTACTACAGTGAAAAAGCTAAGAGAAAGCTGAGGGAGAGCACAAGAGTCCACAGGGAATCGCCGCGGCCAGCCACTTATGAGGAACAGCACAGTCAATAAGACATCTAGGGACTACTACTGTAGTCGAACTTAGTGCTTGGAGCGAGCACAATGAGGCCTTTATAGAAGAAAATTCTGAAGATTTTGCCCCTGTTACCACGGTTCCAGACAATCTGAGAACTCTCTACAAGGAACAATACACGACCCTTAGCAAGGAAGATATGGTTGATGTGTGTAATGACATTTATGCTAAACATGATATAACACCTGAGGAAATTAAAAGTGTGGGGGAGACAACAAGGTTGCAATCCTCATCCTCAGCCTGGCATGAAATAAGGACTGGCAGAATAACTGCATCTATTGCTGGTGACGTTATGCAAACAAGTGTTTCCAAGCCGTCCTCTACACTGCGCTCACGCTCACGGTAGTTAATTACCCCCTTAGAGCTTGTAGTGGGCGGGACGGACATTTAAGCCCGATTATCTGACAGTAATCTAGTGAGACTTCCCACGGGGATAGATCGATCTAAAATATATAGGAATGCGCCCTTAGAGTACCTGCTGTTGAGTGGGGGAGAGAGAATGAGGGGAATGCGTATGAACTGTACAGGCATGTTGTTCAGGAAGACCCGCACAGGCCCATCAAGCTGTGCCCATCAGGAAGAGTGTATGTGGCAGACCATGTTGGGCTTCAACATTCTGAGGCCCATTTAACAGAGTCAGGCTTACTGCATTCACCACAAAAACCACATTTTGGTGCATCACCAGATGGCATCATCACATGTTCATGTTGCGGACTTGGTGTTCTTGAGATAAAATGCCCTTTTAACTGCCGTGAGAAAACAATGGAGGACAACATTCAAGGAGAATTTTTTGTCAAGATGATTCATTTTCTCTCAAAAAGAAACACAAGTACTATGCCCAAGTACAGCTTCAGATGTAGTACGTGGCTAATGCCCAGTATGTTGACCTCGTTGTTTGGATCCCTGTGGATTGTGCCTGTGATTACGAGGGTAATAAGGGATGGCAACCAAACTGGATACTTTTAGGCTCTATTGTGTCCTGCCGGAATTGTTGACCCGTCAGTTGGAAAATGCTTCGGCGAATAGTCAATCGTCAACTGTGGGCAACAATTCCAAGTCTTATTCCAAGGCATTTCGGCAGTGTTCTTTCTTCTGCTCCGCACTGCCTTTAATATGGATTTTGATAATCAGCGTTAAAACTATGACATTCTCTCTTCAGCTCAAATCTTTCATCATTTCTTCAATCAAATTTGTCGATATCAGCGAATCTTCTGATACCCCCTCTCTCTCTCTCTCACACACACACACACACACACACACACAAACACACACTTACCGCTGCCGTATTTATGACTCCCGGTGACACGGAGTTCACCCGGATGTCATCTTTGGCCTAGTCCAGTGCCATACACCGAGTCAGCTCCAGCACAGCACCTTTACTGGTCGAGTGCGTCCTCTTACAGGCCGATGCCACGTGGCCGACCATACTGGCTATATTGACGACTGATCTGGCGTCAGGTTCGGCTGTGTTGGTGAAATATCAGTGAAGTATTGATGAAATATTAATATTACTGCTCAATTTTGACAAAATATGATAAATATTTGGAGATTGATTGCATGTTGGCATTTTAACTTTGTCCGATGAACAAAATTTAGTCTAATTGGAGAAAAGACTGAATTTGAAAGAAAGTCGGTATAAATTACGATGCTGATTTTGCTGATGTTTTGTTGTTTAGGTGGATAGACACAGGCAGATGAAACAAACACTTATGAACTCGTTATTTAAAAAGAGGGGAGACACAAAGACATATGCACACACTTTCACAGAGTGGCAAGAGATGTGCGTCCCTAAATTGCGTTATACACCCTAATACAGCGCAATGCACTTGGAAAAAAGAAAAAGCAGTCGCAAGCAAACACAGGATATGGTCTTTCACAACGTACATAAGCATAATTTATAAATAGTTAATTAATATCGTTGATGCAACTATACAAATCAGCAAAATTTGTTAATCATCGGGTCCGCCGCCATGTTGGCGAGTGGCTCTCCTTGGCCGGTGCCATGTACCAGAAAGTCCTCCATGACAGAAGACTCCGATTCCCATTACTTTGTACAGGTGTCCGCCGCCATGTTGGCGAGTGGCTCTCCTTGGCCGGTGTCATGTACCAGAAAGTCTCCCATGACAGAAGACTCTGCTTTTGTACAGGTGAGCCTCGCCCTAGATTTTGACCCATTTAGGTCAGACTAACCCTAACCATCATAACTATATGGAGGGCGGACCCTCAGTTTCATGACACCGGTATTATTGGATGAAGAAAGAGAGGGAGAGAAAGAGATGGAGAGGAGGAGATGGAGAATAAAATAGAGATATGTTTACCTGTCTTCATGTGAGGAAAGCAGGCCTGTACCATATTCGAGTATCCAGCCACATTCACACTCATGACTTGTGCCCAGTCGGACGTGTCGGCATCTAAAGCTGGGGAACAAAGACGAACGTTGATTAAATGTTGACAAGCGAGAGGAGAGAGAGAGAGAGAGAGAGAGAGAG